TTTTTTTTTTTTTTTTTTTAATAAAATAGCACTTTTCCTTCTTATTTTACAGATTTCGTAAATAAGATCTTTACAAAAGATCAACTGTACATTTAAACTTATACATCAAGTGCCATGATTGCATTTTTTTTAGATTTTAAAATATTTATTATTCGACTTCTATGATTCATCACTTGAAAGTTTAAAAGATCATTTGCTATAGATAAGTAAAATGTCATGTTATAAAATAATGAGCATTGCAGAAATTGAAAGGTACAAATTTTTGTGTTGGATTTTAGCATCCAATATCTTACTAAAATTGTATACACAAGAATGTGTAACTCTAAAATATACGATATAAAATCATGTACTTTACACGCGACATATACTGTTCCCAAGCTAATCCATAGCGCACTTTGCAGCGTTCATTATCTCTTATTGCTCGGTGGACTAACAATCCTGTGCACATGATCGCATAATAATGAGGCAAAATATCACATGCTAAAGTTATACATGATANTAACTCCGAATATAATGTTTGGTTGCTCCAAAAGAGGCTCTTTCAAACTACAAACACTCTGCCCATTCTTTGAAACTAACATTCTCAAAAAGGCGGGTACAACTGGTCTGTCTTTACATTTAAAGTGTGAAATGTGACGAGACGTTATACTAATAGTGCTTTTTGTGTTTAAAAAAATTTCAGACATCTAACAAAGTTATAAAAATCAATAGTAGAGAATAGTTATATGAATATTACAATTAACTGAATATGTACCTTATCGACCAATTTGCCGGAGAATTTCACATCAAATCGTGGCGACACATCACATAAATATATTCCATTATTAACTTGATAAATTATGCAGATTTTTGTTTTGTTCTTATCTTCCACAAGGCATGCTTCTTCTGTACTTTGACACAAACATTCTCTAGAAAAATCTATAATTACATTGTAAATTAGAATTCGTTCTTGTACTTATATACAGTTATTGAATCAGAATTGACGTTATAATAAGTACTTTGGTAGTACTCGAATAGTAATTTTAGGCTATCGTAAACATTTATATCACAACTATGTACGTCATTACCGGCAAACGTAAAAGTATATTTACCAATTAACATTTCTCCTTCAACAACAATTAATGTGTCAATTTGAGCCGGTTTTTCTTGCAACCATCGAACAGAAAATTCGCTAAAAAATATTTCACCAAATGTTATTTGTAATCTAAAATATATTCACATTGAAGAGGTTATAAACTTGATATATTTAACTTACGGTTCATTAATCGCAATTTCATTTGATTCATTTTCATCTTCTTCGTCCCAAAACGCTCGAGAAACTGGAAACACCACTTCACCAAAAAAACTCACCATTTTTATTAATAAAATTAACAACAATTACTGTAAAATGAAATCGAGTTACATAGCTCGTACTGCTTTGTCATGCCGCTTCATTACACGACAGTGCAAGTGTATACATTACAAATGATAGAATGGATGACGATGACGATCAAAGTTCAAGAACAGAAGAGGGCTCTGTGATCACTTCTCAAATTTGTATTTTAAAAAATTAGATATTTCTTGGATATTACATTCAGCAAAACAGGGTATAAAGAAGAAAACATAAATACTTTCTTAGACATAACTGCTTCATTTTATTATTCATTCTTGTCAAACATTACATATTTCTTTTCAACAGAATTATTTAGTTTGTAACCATGCAAATACTAGAAAAATTATTTATTTATCACNTCTTTTTTTTTTTTTTTTTTTTTTTTTTAATAAAATAGCACTTTTCCTTCTTATTTTACAGATTTCGTAAATAAGATCTTTACAAAAGATCAACTGTACATTTAAACTTATACATCAAGTGCCATGATTGCATTTTTTTTAGATTTTAAAATATTTATTATTCGACTTCTATGATTCATCACTTGAAAGTTTAAAAGATCATTTGCTATAGATAAGTAAAATGTCATGTTATAAAATAATGAGCATTGCAGAAATTGAAAGGTACAAATTTTTGTGTTGGATTTTAGCATCCAATATCTTACTAAAATTGTATACACAAGAATGTGTAACTCTAAAATATACGATATAAAATCATGTACTTTACACGCGACATATACTGTTCCCAAGCTAATCCATAGCGCACTTTGCAGCGTTCATTATCTCTTATTGCTCGGTGGACTAACAATCCTGTGCACATGATCGCATAATAATGAGGCAAAATATCACATGCTAAAGTTATACATGATATCGACCACCACATTATTATATCACCTAAATAATTCGGATGTCTTACATGGCCCCATAAGCCAGACACTAGAAGCTTCTTGCCGCGTATGGTTGAAATAGTATCCAGGTCTGTAAAACATGTATAAATCAATATAATGAAGATTGATCACAGAAAGTGTTACACTTACGTGCTACAGCAGGTGATAGAGGATTCCTTCTGAATTCGTGTTTCTGCGAGTTACTGAACCTATAGAGCAAGTATCCAATTATGAAGAAAAATACAGGGAAGCCGAGCAAATAACTGAACCTTGTCCTAAAGAAAAAGTATTAATAAAATTGTATTTTTTCTGTACTTAATTCTATAACGTGTTCAATGATCACTTACTTATTGTACAAAGCGAATTTTGTTGTAATGGTTGGTAAAAATGGAAATAACATGTAGCCAGTACTTAACATGTAGCCAGTCCCTTCGTGCATTATTTCGAAAGACGACAAAATTGTAGACTCGAAGAATAACGCGTCCATGGTATAAATTATTTGTAATGACGCAATCAATAGAACACTAATGCGAAGGTACTCTAGAGAATAACTCTGTGCCTCTTCAATTGATTTGATCACAATGGTTAAATTTATAAGCATCTAAAATGTGAATATGTATATATAGAATAAGTATGTAATATTTACTTCCGGTTTATTTAAAAATATTACCGTAGCTATCATGGCTGTACGGAAAATGGTCATTTTAACGTCCAGGGGACCAATTCGTGGATTTATCTCTCTTCCCTGCCAAAAATTATAAATTCGACTGTTGGTAGAACCATGTATGTTGAGGCTCGCGATAGGAGCTTTACCTCCCTTGATAAACAATAATACCGACAAGATTACTCCAAGAAGCCACCCACTGATTGAAAATTGTATGTAATTATCTATAATGAGATCAGTAACTCCCAGTTCTTTATATATACATACGATAAATATAAGTAATGATAAAATAGCTGATAAAAATCCTGGAAAACGAAGATTCAAAGTTATTACAGTTTCATTCAGACAACCAGTTGCAAAATTAGATAAATATTTAATTACCATTTAAACGGTATTGTAGTCTTCCACTTCTGTTCTCGAGACCATCAACCTTCTTTCCGATTGGGCAGATTGAAGCCAATGCCACAAACAAGAAAAATCCCAAGTATGTTCCAAAAGCCTTCAAGTTTATATACGAATTTACATCTTCCGGTAATTTGGGGTAGCCAAATTTGCAATTTTTCTGGGTGCACATTAGTTGCGGTAATATTATAAGCAATGGAGTCAAAATTATGAGAATAAATGATCCGAAGCGTCCTCCCCATTCTTGAGGTTCACTGACCATATTTATTTCTATTTTCCGTTTTTCTATTACTGGAAAATCTTGTACTGCTTCCTTTTCATAATGCATAGCCTTCAAAAGATCCTAAAACGGCATTATCAGTTAAATCCATGTTACTTGATTATAGACATTTATATGCATGGAATGAAACTCACTTGATCCCTTTGTACCGAGAGACCTCTCTCCTTGCTCTCTATATTAAAATCATGTAACTGAAGTTTCCTTTCTATCGGAAGTGACACAGCTCTATTAATACTTCTTGTCAACATTTCCATTTTGTAGTCAGATTCAGGTTTTGTAGTAGTTAATTGTAATCTTGATGATCTACGTGTAACTACCCCCAGCCCTCTCAATCGGGACTGGAGAGGTAACGACTCAATAGAGTGCTCATCATCATTTGTACTTTTTGAACTAACTATATTCTTAACACTGCTTGTTTCTGTAGAGCCAAAAAAGAATGACATTATATTGAAATACGAATTTGTAAGCTATAATTCTTTTTTGTAGAAAAATTTTACCAGTAGGTACTTCTATTCGTGGCAAAGAGATACGTGCAAACTTGCCCCTTGTTGAAGTTGCTCTAGTAGATGGAGATCTTCCAGGAGAACGTTTCCTTGGAGATCTGCCAGGTGACCGTTTACTAGGAGATCTCATACCTGAAGTAGCTCGAGGCTTTCTTCCCCTGCTGCTGGATCGTACTGTACTTCGTGCTCGTCTAGTTGACTGGAATTTTAACAAATATGTTTATAAAACTTCTGTAGTAATACATTTATGATTTAGATGGTTTAAAAAATACCTTTATATCAGTTGAGTGAATAGTGTATTCTGCTCCAGCTTCAAATTGCACCTTATACTGATCTCCTCGGGCACTTAATATTTTGCCTTTCCGATATTCTGTTGTGGATGGATATTTGGCAAGCACTGAATCCCCTTCAGAAAACTTCATTTTTGTATCTAAAAGCAGCAAATGACCTTTACAAAACTGTTATGTAATCTTACAGTCTAATTCATCGAATATATTTTACTAAGAATTTATGCTTCATTCGGAGAAGCATTTGTTACACAGTAGCGATCTACAATACGGATTGCGAAATAAGCCGAATATTGTTTCAAGCACAGATACTCAAGTAAGATCGCAGTAGCAAAGGATTCTTGAATGAAATTGTACAGTACAGGACCAGTAAAAAACACATTTATACAACTTACACGTAATTTCACTTAATCGATAGCAGTTTCATGTAATGAGTTTCTAACTGGTTGAAAAATAAAAGAGCTTCTAATCGCGAGGTTATAATTAACGCTATTTTTTGCATCATAACACGAAGAGGCGCACACTTTATGGCGTTCGAAGACGCATAAAATCCAAGCCACGCTATGTAATCGTATGCGTCGCGTACGTTAAGATGCATTCACAACAAAAAAATCTGAACCGTAACTCTGTCAAAATTGAAATTTACATAAAGTTAGAAGATGAAAAATTCCACTGAAAAATGTTCTGAAATGTTGTAAAAATTGCAAAATTAATTAAGGGATACGTAACGATACACACGTAACTGTATTTAAACAAGAAAATGACACGTTAAAAAAAAGAAGCAAGTGTTTTCAAATAAGCGACAAATTATTTGTAAACTAACTTTAATGCAACGCCTATCTTGTAATTTTGTGACCACTGAGTTTACTCGAAAGTCAGTATATTTTTGAAATTTCATTTAAATTTATTGCAAAGAATGAAGCATGAACTATTTGAGAGATTGTGAATCTACGAATCCTAATCTCGATGCTATTAATCGGTTAATAACCCTAAAAGACAATTATTTAAATTGATGCAAATTTCAATCAAGTAAATATGAAGACAGACGCGTATGTAGACGAAACAAATGTAAAAGACGAGGAATCATTTTTGGTACGTACGTGATTTTCGAGTTTCATGTATATCTCTTTAATTCTCTTTAATATCTAAATTAACCAGTCAGCGGTTTGTACGATAGAAACGTACAACCGGAAGTAACGCTGAAGGAAGTCCATTTCCGCGTGTATACACGTAAACGCATTGCAATTTTTTCACAGATATCTGTAAAGGACACATTGACCACCGTGCAAAACAGCGTTCACAATTTCATAAAAGATGTTCCTCGAGCACTGTTCGATTCGGGGTTAGATTTCGATATAGAAAAGTTAACTATATCGGACAGTGAAAATATAGAGCTTCGTTCTTTGCCGCAACCGTTAACTGAACAAACGGTCAAACAAAATGGTAAAAGTTTAGCGCAATCAAAATGAGAAAACCGTAATACGATCGTGAAATTAGAAAAATATTTCTTTGCTGTACACAGAGGAGAAGACTGAAATTATAAATTTGGAACTCGAATGCGAACGACTGCGTACCCAATTGCATCAGCAACTAGAAGCGAACAAAATAATACAGAGGGAAATCGAGTACATGAAAGAACAAGTGACTTGGCAATAATTTGGCTCAACGATCAAATGTTTTTTCATGAAAGCTCACAGCGTTGATAAGCTTACCTTGGTTTTGTTGTAGTTGTTCAACCAGAGTGCTTATTGTACAAGTTTGGGGGCGGTTTTGGGTAATCTAACGTGGAGAGCGTCCAGGTTCCCTGAGATCGTTGATGTCTGGCTTTCCGCGGTAAACGTATTCTTCCGAGATCTAACACACTTCTCGTGACGCTATAGCTATCGATTTTCGCATAGTTTCAGCACAAAATTGGCGAACTGTTATCCATAACGGATGGAAGTTTCGAGGCATTTATGAAAACTTATCGGACTGCATTTCCTCCGACCAGCAACGACGAATACCAATTTATAATCTCTTTATTGGGCATCGTGACTAATATATCCGCGAGTCCCGAAGGGCGCGAATTTCTTATCACTAACTCAAACGGCAAAGATTTTATCAAGAAGATAGTGACTCTTATGCCGACCCTGCCAATTTCACAGGGCACCCATTCCATTAAAAGGTAACCGAGAGAAATACAAGCTCATCCATTATTAAATTCAAAATAGACGTTTCATTGGATATTTTTAGGATGGGGGGGGGGGTAGTAAGTATATGTATATCTATTAAATGCGAATGGTAATGATCTTGAACTTGTAAAATATTTTGCTACATCAGTGGGCGGCTCTAATGGTAGGGGAGTTGAAGGGTGGGGATGGAACAAATGGGTGACTCAGTGCTATGGTGGGGGCGACCTTGCTGAGCCAAACATCTTTGTGGCTACTACAATAATCCCTTTTTTTTCTGACTTCAACGTGCTTTTTCCAGATTGATGCTGATGACGTTGTACAACGTTAGTATGAATGAAACCGGTTTGTTGCATCTGTTCGATTCTCGGATAGGGGACGCGTTGAACTATTACTTGAGGAACGATTCTCTACCGGACGAGGTACAGTTGCTCTGTCTGCGTGTGCTGCACTCTATCACCTATGATCTAACCGATCCAAAATACATACAAGACTTGATTACAAGTCTGTCAATCGACAAAATAGAAGATATTGCTGCTGCGAGCAAGAACGAAATGAGCAGCTTCGCGAAGCAAGTTATAAAGAACTTACGGAACTCGCAGAAATACCTAAGCCAAAATTAAACACATACCGCCAGTCAGACTGTAGCCTGAGCTTCGTGAATTAAAAGTATGGCCCACTGAGTGTGACCGATTTTATAATTGCATTCCAACGGTGCAACGATGATAATACTTATATTTGTAGAATGTTATCGTGTGTTTTCGCGCGAAGCAACACGTTACGCCGAGTTGCAATTGCGGCTATGTCAAATATCAGGATATCCTTGGAACATGTTCGTGACTGACCCGAGAACTGTCGAATATCGATCCGCTTTATGCAGCTACAAAATAAAAGCAATTGTGTAGAACGGTGTATGGAGTAGCGCCGAATCGATTACACTGAAAACTTGTGCAGGCAAAGCATAATCAAGGGCATAAATATTTGCTGTGCAATTAAACAGTTGTTCCTGCGCTTTTGTGTCTGTTGAGCAACGAGTCTATCGATTTCTAGAGAACGTTCCGTTCTACGCTATTTGTTTTCTTTGTCGGGCCAACTGCAGACGTATTGCAACGAAAACAATCGTGTACAGAATGTATCGTTAGAAAATTGCATTAGAAACGCTCGACACGTTACTCGAAATTTCACTGTGCAGTAGCGGCCTTCGGGATTCGAAGGTTGCGACAATACCACAACAACGAATACTGCGGTAACTGGTTTCCGAGTAGCAACCTCACGTATGCACGTACACGCGTGCATTTCGCCGTTTCGACGTTACACCGATCTACCGTTCTGCCGAACCGTACAATTACCGGCATGAATAAATTACAGCTGCGGAACAATTGAAAAGAAACGGACGCTCACAACTTTCAACATAATTGAACACCGACATATTTTTGGATCGATCTGCGCACCTGGCGCAAAAAAACAATGATATATAGTTCTAAGCACCGTTGGCTTCGAGTCAAACTGTGGCAAATGTTTTCTTAACACTTTACCTGCCAAAAGTCAATTAATATTCATACTTGTCAACATAAACAAGTTAGCCATTAACGATTCACTCGTAATATTTTAGTTTTTCCATTAGGTAATCCATTAATAAGCATCCGCTAGGTAAAGTGTCAACTATATCAAATATTTTTATATCATTTACTTTTATCGACATAATTCAATATTGATCTTATTAAAACTAGCCTCATAATTATTTGTTACTTATTAATTAACGATACTTGCCTGGATCACCCTCAATCCATTTCGCTAGCACGGGAGTACAACATTATGAACTCTTACCAAGGTAATTCTCATCCATTCCGGTTCTGGAGAAATGTTGAAATTTTGATTTCTGCTAGCTAAGCGATTCGATAACGATCCACAGCAGCATAGTGAATGCTTGAGGTAGTAATGAAAATAAAAAAACAGAATCCAGCATATGTCTTGAACCGATAAGTCAAAAAGATCGCCCGACAGTACCCGATAATAGTGAAACAATAGGTTCGCTTCATTCGTCCTGTCCGATGGCTATCGTTTAGTCAAGCAAGAGTCTAACAATGATTTCTCATAGGCATGAACATGGACTCGACCACGGCGGAAGCACGTTGGAAAGGGCATCGTGTGGTATCGGGCAGGGGTTCGGTATGTTTTTAATCAACCAGGTCGGCATCGATGGAGGCAGCGAGGTGTGAACCGGTGTCGAGCTGTTTCATTATCCCGCAATACAGAGACAAACAGAATCGTAAATGAACGGCGCGGTGGGAAGGAGAAGGAGAAGGAGAAGGAAAAGAGAGGAAGTGGAAGAGGAAGAGGAAGAGGAGGTGGAAGGATGAAGGACGGTTGGAGGGATAGTCGGGGATAGTTATAGACGCATGGTAATACCGACGCGGAGGAATCGCGTCGATAATCGACCTGCGCAGGCTCGTCTGGATAGACCGTGTGGGGGCGTGCGCGACGAGAGATCGCGCCTGCCCGATGCAACCATTCGTTTCCGAGCCGCTCGTGCGAGTGGGGGGTTGCCTGGCGGGAGGGGTTGAGGAGACGGGGGAGGGTACGCGTCGCGACGTCCGGCGTCGAGCAAACGGGAGATCACGGCAGGCAGGCAGGCAGGACCTAGGAAAGGCGACGGCCGGGCGGTCGTTTTATTGATCCCGGGGCGCCGCGGCGCTACCCACCCGCGGCGGGATCGTCTGCGAGAAAATTCTTCTCGACAGGATTTTCGCGTCTGCCTTCATCCGGAAGGCTGAATCGTGAACGGGGAAAAAAGGGGCCGAGAGAGGACGAGAAGCGAGCGGGCATCGTCGCCGACAAGGGTGGAACGAAGAGGGTTCGAACGAGTCCCGACGAGCCGGTGCGCGGGGTGCCAAGACGCGTCCTCCTCGACGTGGTTATCGTCGGTTTTGTCCTCGTCGGGGCCCAACGGAATTCGGTGGACGTGGTGGCGGTCGTGTCGCGAACTCGCCGAGTGAGACATCGGGGCACCTAGCAGGGACCGGTGACGCACGAGCGACGTCCAACCGCGAAGAGGATATTCCACGATATCAGCCAAGGGGGTTGGGATCGTTCCGGATCCGCTACTGTGCGGTGGTGGCATCGCGACACCGATGGACTGAGAGGAAACGCCCGGAAGAAGCTGTTGTCGAGCAGCTACAACTTCCAGGACACCCTGTTACCACGCCGATGGAGGACCTCCAAGGCGGACACGGGCCTCACTAGACCGCCCGAAGGGGCAGGCGTCCATCCCGCTCTTCTGGTGGTCGCCGTCGATCTCGGACACCGGGGTCCCTCTGCCTGTCCCCGGTCTCTTTACGGATTTCTGACAGTGCAAACCTAAAACCGGACACAGGCGCCGCGGCGCCGACATGGGCCCCGCCAGCAGCCACGAACAGATCGGCGACCAAATTGGTGACGACGATGGCCTGCAGATACACACCAAATCAACGGCCAACAACATCGTAAGTTCGCCTTTACGTACAACTTCAACCAAGAGAGCTGTTTCAGTTTCATCCGGATTTTGACCTTAGCACTTCCGGGGACGCTAGTAACATTCTTCGCGAACTATTGTTTTAACTATTTGCGGACGAGGATTTTTCAAAGTGCTAGGCATAGTTTTCTCAGAGAACTAGATTGTGTTTCAAAGACTTAAATGCTAGTCAACGTGAGCAATATATCCTGATCTTGTGTTATGTATATAATCTAAATTGTGTGTCTGCAACTTCTGAAATAAGATTTCCAATCTTGATGTCGTCAATATGTTTTGATATTCGATCGTAATGGATTAATCCTTGATTAGGTGATGTTTTTAACTAGTGTACAATTGGTAACGATTAATGAAATAGCTACCGGGTTAAATAGTTTGTCAGTCACCGAGCCAAGATGAGTCCATGTCCAATTTTCAAGAGCTTTATTATGGAAGTCTGCAAAGATAGAAAGATAAATTTTCACTCGTTATAGAGTGCATAATAATACTAACCGTTTTCGAAGTTCCAATGCAACTCGCAAATAGTCATAATAGATGACCATCTCGCTGCTACAACTTACATAGGTAGTCTGGACAACTATTATAACTATAGACGTTCCTGCGACCTTCTCTTCGACAAATCGCCTATAATAATCACCGAAGATATCGACTTCAGTATTAAGCAAGAATTGGATCAAACGGAACTAGTTTTATCTTGATATTTCATAAGCTCTGCTCTAGCTACTACAATTTGTCTCCGTCTATTCTTATCGATACTTACAAAGCGAAAAGATTTTTTTTAAACCTCTTGAATACGTTCTATAACACTTTCAATCCGTGCTTCAATCGCAAACAAAACGAAAACGAGGGGACTCGCCCATCTCCCTAATCTTTGGATCCGTTCTTCAAGGGTTTCCGCTTCACCGTTGGCCCTAAGAGGAATCCGAAATGATTGTACGCCGATTCCTCTCGTTTCCCCATTCAAGAACGCCTGTGGCTTCACCTCTGAACTTACGGCGCCGAACATGTCCCGGATAGGGTGCATTCATATCGCCTAGTTTCTACTTATGGTGCCGATACCATCCGCTGTTATCGAGCGGCCCCGATTTCCCGCTAGGAAACCGGAAGACAGGTATATAGAAGACCGAATTCGAGGTCGACGTATCCACGAGCCGTGCGTGGAAGGTACCGAACGCCACGGTTCACCACTCTATTTTCGTCGTAAAACAGAAACGGCGCCCCTCGAACTCTTTCCATCACGGCTGCCGGATAGTATCTTGGAGAAACAACTAGTCCTGGCGATAATTGGCCGGCTATCAAGCGTTTTTCAAGGGTGCTGCCCCCCACTCCCCCGGCTTTCCAGGATTTTCATCAGTCGAATCGAACAGTCCGGCGCGTGGCGTTCAGGTTCGCCGCACGCTGCGGTCGTCTGAATCATGCTACCTAGCGATGCATTCTTCTTTCTGGGAAAACTATTGCTCCTCTGACATATTATATTTCTCGATTAACCTATTAGCTGTATAGCTTGGCTTAACTATCGCAAAAATATCTGCATGTGTTCTCGACTTTTGTTATCTACGAAGCATACATTTTCACGATCAGATTCTGCTTTTCTTCAAAGAAAATGCCGGCTGTTAGAAATCACTGGATCAGATGATCTTATTAAGTAAGAAATCTCCGTTTGCTGATAAACGGTTTCATAACTCAATAAAACGTGCAGATACGCGAGTTACATTTATATCAACAGATTCTCGGGCATCCATTAATAAATAGACGGATAACAATGTACAACATTAATTTACTTTATGCTGCCGTATCCTAACAAAACTTGATGATCACCACGCATAAAAATGACGATAACATTCACACCGGTTCATTGTTAACGAAGACCAATGACGTTCGAGGGCGTCCGATACCCGCGTCCCGCCCCACGTGTTCTCCAATCGCTCGAGATGTTTTGGGAACAATAACCGTCGGCCCTTCGTTAACACACGTTCGAGACCACGGTGCTGGTAGATCATCATCCGCTTAGCGATATCTTACGCGGGCTTGTAGTATCGTAAACCGCGAGCTGTTAGAACTTTGTACCTATCGATAGATCGTTTTTGTTCGGTGGTGTCTGTGCGGCTTCTCGTGTGACTAATGCCTGCGTGGAAATCTGTAGCGGAAGGAAGACGGCTAGTCTCTGGTAGCACGCGTCGCGGGGAAAACAAAGAGAGATAGAGACGGAAGAGAGAGAGATCGAGCTAAACGCCGCGGTGTAGAGAGAGAGAGAGGGAGGAGAACAAAGAGGGAGTCCGACTATAAAGCAAAATGAGACGATAGGACATACGGGAGAAGACTCGCCAAGGGAAATGGAGTGAGATGGAGATTCCATAGAGTGGGGAATCGGATGGACGTCGGAGTCCGCGACGCGATAAGTCAGCCGGTGGTTCAGCAGCGCGCATTTTCATATCGCTCGTTCTTCCGTGCCGTCGCTGGACGCTGTCCACTCAGGTGGCGCGAGTCCCCATCTCGCTTTCACCCTCTCATTCGGTCGCACGTTCACCGACAGGGTGAATACCATCATCTTCATTCAGATCCGACGTCGCCATCCGCCTCGGTCGCGCCATGTCGCCTAAGAACAAGGTATGTGCTTATACTCTTTTTATCTTCTTCTATCGCCGTCGAACCCTTCGACGTTCCTCCTTGGAAACGCGAACCCTCTTCGTGAATGAATTTCAGCCCATACGGCTGCCATCGTCGTCTTTCCTAATAGCTCGAAGTTAACGTTCGATAGGGCGTCGATAATGTGATAGGCGATTCGCGGAGAACAGCCTTCGATTCGTACGAACACTTCAGGATATATCGTTCTTCCACATCTCCGTTGTAGTCCGCGACGTGTCTGTCGGGTTACGTGCACTATCGTCTTCGTTCAGATAGTCGAACGTTGCTATCACGCCCTGTTGCCCTAGAATAAGATGTCGTGCGTGCAGTATTTTCCTTTTATTGTCGTTCGATTGTAGTTCACTTTTCGAAAGAGCTGGGGACTCTATTCCATCGAACGTCGATAGTCAGCCAAGTCATCGAGAGTAAGGCTCAACTCGCAGCAACACCCAGTTGATATCGTTCTTCGACGTCTCCAACGTGTCCCGCAACATCTGTCGCGACAGTCTGCCGCGATTCGCAAGTTTCTCGTCCGATAAACACGCGATCCGGTGAAGTTCCGCGCGGAGAAACGATGCAGTCCGTTGATCTGGGTACATTCGGCGCACAGAAGGAATTATTGAATAAAGTGCAGCTTAAACTCCAGTTTTCGCGATATTCGTTGTTACAATTGAACTGCGGATTTTGTGTATTTATGCGTTAATTTACTTACGGAACAGTGAAAACACTGGAAGAATCAACGAACTCTGTTACGTTACTCTCTATTGTCTTCTAATTGATGCAAATAATTTTTATTTTGCATACAGAGCCACAATTTTAGTTAATCGTGTATGATTTTCAGTCGTCTACCGGTTACTCAATGACTGAAATATGGCAAGATTGCGCCATTTTCCAATCTGCTCGATCGAACACTGTTTTTCCGGCCAATGGTCTTTGCGACGAGCAAAACAAATGATGATCCAAACGAGCTATTATTACATTTATCTATCCCGTAGCTGTTAAATGCCACGCAATGGTTATAATGTTTACAAGAAGCGTTTTCAAAAATATGTTTAACATCGTCATCCCGTTAAAATGTAACTTCGAATTAACTACACTCTCTCTCTTTAAAAAAAAAAAAATACAATAGTCCCAAGACTTCGTCTGAACAATCGAGAGTTTCCCTAATCAAATTCAGAACGATCATCATGCACGATGTCCACCGATCGCCATCGCCATTGACCCCCGCGAACCGGCTGAATTCGAAGGGAAAAAAGAAACGCTGCGGAACAGCTGCTACCACGTGGTTCACAGCCGCGAGCCAGACGACAGTTTCGCGTTGGGAGTCGAGTTTGCACATAATTAGACCGGTATCGACGGCAAAACGGCGGCAGCCGATTAGTGGGCGTGTTTTTCCACGGATCCGTTGTGTTCGAGCGAGCGTGATTTTTTGCGTCTCGTGATCAAAAATTCCGTCAACGGCGCGTCCATGTCGTTCGCGGATCCTCATGTGACGCGGGGATGCCGGCTAACGCGGAATCTCAAGGTAAATAAGAAAACGCGCGATACGATCGGATTAATCGCGAGACGCGCGAGTGAAAGTGGCCTACGTGTTGCCGGGCCGACGGAGCAGCTGATAATGCGATGCTCCGCGCCCGGCACCCGGTGATATTGGCCCATTGACGCCCAGTTTTACGCGTTCGTCCCCATTCTTAAAAGTCGCTAACCCTCTGCTCTAATCAGAAATTCATAGCTTGAAACTTTATAGCGCCTTGAAGCAGAAAATAGCCGAATCTTCACTCTGTAAAATTCGGTTGATTCAAAGAATCTTAAATGATCGGAGACACCGAGGACTGAGCCACTCAGGTGCCAGAAAGGTCGGCGATTAGATTGTGGATCTGTGTGATTTCTACCGATGACGGTTCTAGTAGATTGAAAATGTAATAAATAGTCTTACATTATTGCGATGTTTGTACTGTTCTTGCGTCTCGGTTGTTCAATTTTATCATAGATACATAAGATCTGCATTTTAGTGATGTTACAGAACTAGACCGCTGTAACAAGAAGGCGCTATAAATCTATGATCAACTAGAACTTGTTACAATAAGTACGTTGTAAATATTGCAGCTACTTTCTAATCATTACCATATAATGAATTGAGTGTATATAATGAATGTGGTGCCGTCTCCTTCGAAACGCGTGTCCCCTACAATTACAATACAGACATTGTAAATATCTGTCAAATCAAGTTTAAGTAAATGTTCTGTTTCTCTAAGTGGAGCAAGTACGAATAACAATATCGAGAAATATCCAAAGAACGGAGATCGTTCCGGCTCGTGAAACCGCTCCGACCTGCGCAGATTACGCCGGGGATTTTCGTGGTTTCGATCCCGCGGATGAAAATTCATGTTCTTCTCACGAAATGTGCAGTGACACGTTCGATCAAGGAATCCTGGAGCGGCGTATTATATCGTCTGGTACCATGGTTCTTGCGCCGCCGTATCACGTGCCAGTTTTACAATGGATTCGTACCGAGGCCCCGGATTAAGATGTACTTTATTACGCGCGAGCACACGCCTTATCTTTTGAGTGTTTGTTGAATTCGTTATCGTTCTGTATCGATGCGAGGTATTTCTCTTATCCCGCGGGCTAGTCGGTCAGTCGAAGTTAAAGCGCGCAAACAACGACGTTCTACGTGTTTTCTTACAGTTACCTATTTTCGGGGGGCCATCTCTCTCTCCCTCTCTCTCTCTCCCTCTTCGTCTTGTTTGTTCTATAGAAATGACGCAAGCCAATTGCTGGCCTCGACATATTCGGGTGGACCCGTCTTTCCAACGAACGACGCTTAATTGACCGGGATCGATGAACCTGGCCACGACCGTTCCTCGACGATAATGCTAAAACAAATACTCGATTAATCATTCACGATTGGCCATCGGTAAATTTTCATAATTCCCTCGGACCGATCGAGCCCGATTAGCCCCTATCCCAGCTCCGCGGTCGCCGTTTAATCCTCGATTTCTGCGTTATCGCTTCGACGTTGCAATTCCAGCTTGCCTCGAGTCGCCGAAATGAATTTCGAAATTTCGTTCGACTGCCTTGTCGAGCATGGCAAACTCATTAAGCCGAAGAAACAAAGTTTTACAGCCGCGACGATTAGAACTTCCTTCTCGTTAACAACATCCTGGAAGAAGGAAACAAATATTGCATGTCTGCGTTTAATCGAAGTTCCGTTTCTATTTCATTCGTTGCGGGTGCCGATTCGTGGGAATAGTAACCGATGTGTTCTGCTAGTTCTGCCATCCGAAGAAGTTCGCCACGGAGTCTCGATCGGGAAGCGTTGTAGGCCTTTATCGTTGTATCTCTCTGTTGAAGTGCGCACTCGAACGTCCGAGAGGGGCTCGCTTCGAAAAAATGGGTTAAGTATCGCGGATGGAAGAAATATGGCGTCGCACGACGCGACGGGACAAAATTTGATCGAGCTTCGGATAAGTGGACACGTTTCGTTCGCCGAGACGGTCTCGACCGGATATTGGGAGCGCGTCTCGCAACAGTTGTGCCCGGCGAAGAAAACGCGTCGGCCGGTATCGGCAAAGATAATTCATCGAGGTTGCTATGATAATCGCGACGCGTGCACGCAAAAGTGAATAACGATTTGTGATTCATCGAAAACTGGCAGGGAACGTTGCTCTTCCTTTCTGTGCATCGTTGCCGTTTATCGCGTGCCGGCTTAGTATCTCTCGCGGTCCTAAGCAAACTGGGACAGCGCCGACGAGAGGCTAGCCTCCGCTTCGTCGTAAACAATGGCCCCGCTGCGATTCAGGAAAATATCGCCGCGGCGGATCGTTTGTGTTTTCTGAGTCATTCCAATGCGTCGCTGCCCGCTGACGTTTCCGCCAAGACGAGAACCAGATGCTCGATTATTGTACGCTAGCGAAACCCGAAAGAGAACGCTGCGACCAGCGGCCATTATGGTTCCCGTTCGCTCGTCGAAAACTGTGATCACTCAGTGATCATTTGCCCCCGAAAGGTTACATATTCATTGGCACGGTTTTTCTAATTTTTTAACATCGAGATCTTGGCAGCGGATGCTTGCTGTGGGTACATAGTCTAGCAAAGTTTCGTGTTATTCAGCTCTTTGGAATGCTTAACTCGGACCTCCTAATTTTCTTTCATATTGATTTTCCACAAATAACCTTGCCGATACCAAACAGAAGGCTTAAACAAATATATTAGACAATTAAATTCCTGCATTGCTGTTGTTCACTTCAACCTGTTTTATCATTGCATCTTCTACACGCTTGACAGTCTACGTAAATTAACTCAATGACATAATCCTCGCTAAAATCATGTTAAGACTCATGCTACGACAACAACACCGATCTTTGGATATAAAGTTGATTTACAATTTTCGATATTTTAACGTTAATAGTATTTTACTCTCTAAATGTATTTTACTATTAATAATATTTTACTATTAGAATGTCTTTTACACTCTCTATCAATAGCATTTTACTACAAGAACGTATTTTACTATTACTGTCAAACCGTGAATACACAAATGTCAAATACAAAGTTTCTTCAGCCGTTAATAGTTTTAATAAATTGACTGTAATATGTCGATATCCTTAATTATTATTTCGAATTTCACTTACTCATTTTTGTCATAAGTGCATAACAATCGCGATCGATTTACTATAAGAAAAATAGTTTCTTTTCTTCCTTGAACTTCAAAGCTCGATGGACTTCAATATTTACATATATATGCAACACACATTCCATATGGAAATTGATAATACAATTGATTACTGGTATCGAGTAATGATAACCATTGCAAAATTCAAAATACACATATTCAAGGTGTCACAAAAATTTTACGGAAAAATTGAGTAAATCTGGAAACTCATTTCACTAACAAACCAGTGCAATGATTTACAGTTACTTAACCCTAAGTGGATTACCGAGCTACTTTAAACTAATAATTGTTGAATGTGTGTTGATGTAACTGTTCGAAGGCTTAGGTAATCCTCTGTCTCGTGTTTCCAATGCAGCAGAGCAAAATCGATTACCATCTACCAACTCTGCGGGAATTAACATAAAATAAAACTGGTTGTCGGGAATTCCGTTTCGAAAGCTTGTTTACTCTTCCACACTTGTAAATTTTGGTGACAGCTAATTTTTTAACGATCCACGAGTAAAATACTTTGTTTTTCTCTAATTTTGTGGTTGCTAAGCATGTTCCGTCTTCAATTTGATGTACAGAAAGATTATAATAAAAGTTACGGTAGAAATCCACGTGGAGTGGAATATCATTTGAGACAAAAACTAAAGAGAATGCATCGTAAGACGCACACGAATCCGAGATATCACTTGAACAATGTTTCCTTGTTCTGCGATGGAGAGACCATCGCAGCCAGAGCAGCAGCAGCAGTAACAGCAGCAGCAGCGTTTCGTCAATTACTGCGAATTGACTCAGTTCAGAGTATATACCGTTCCGTGGCTCGGCCGTTAATTTTTCCGCGGCCGATGAGAAGCAGATGGTGTTTTCATTGCGCTCGTGCCTTCAGCTCTAATTGTCGCTGGTTATTATCTAATTAATTCATAAGCGTCGTCCGACACAAGAGCATCGTGGAACAAGCGCGTCGCAGCACAACAGTGCTCGCGTGCTCACGAGTGCTACCAGTTTTGCAGTGGTACCAGTCTCGAGCGTGCTATATCTCTTCTCCTACGATCGTCGTCGTCGTCGTCTTTATTATCTATTCTCGTGTGCAGATCTCTTCCGAGAGTGTTTCCGCTGTGCGTGCTCGCCTTCGAGATCGTCCTCAAAATGTTTTCCTGCCATTCGGTCTTCCGGCAACCTCCGCATCGATCCACAGAGGTCGGACAAAATCGTGGAAACACCTCGCGCACTTAGAACATTCCATGTTAGTGCTCTACGTCCTTGCTGGTTCATATTTTCTCCTCTTTTGAGTCTGCAAACCATTCGGATTTTCTGCGTGCAAGATATTTTCGTTAGCAAAAAAACGATTGCAAATGCAATTATAAAAATCATGAAAATATAATAATTAATATATTTGTTTCCCAGTAATAATTGAAGAGAGGTCTTCATCGTTAGAAATATTGGAGAGTTCTTAATATTCTTGAATTCTCCTGTAATTTTCCCGTGTAGAGTTTATTATCTCACACTCGTCCGATACATACGCAATACAGTCTTCCTTCTCAACTCAGAATCACGATTTTTGAATTGTAATTACGAGAATAATGCAAAGCCGCTCCTCAGCCAATTACGAATGCAATATGGCGATATAAAACGCTTATGTCGCTCTTACCTATGAAAATGACTCTGTGTTGTATTCTATAAATGCGTCTTAGCATAAATTGTGCCCTGCCACGTTGAACGGTCGTTGTCCTTCTCGTTCATAAAGTTCATTGACAATGCCTAACGATGCTCTAAATCAGTTTCGCGTCACATTTTGCAAACCCAAGACACGGGTAACAGTGTTTCCATAATTCTGCCCGACCGGTGCACCAGCAACGCTGCAGATCGCCGTCGATTCTCGTTGTACGATGACTATCGATTAAGCCGTACGGTTCCGTGTACCCTCCAATCTTGATAATACGATATTTCGGTAAGTTCGCGTGCAAGATCGATTTCATGTCGGTGGAAACTACGGGCCTCCCGGTTATATTATCGCGTCGGTCGTCGGTCATGGCAGGATATAGCCGATTTCTGGTACACGGATACCCGTCCCTTGTTTCGTATTCGACCGTTCGATCTTGAACGTGACATCCTCGCAGCCAGCTGATAATACCGTCGTTGTGGGAACTGTCACTTTCATCGGTGAAGTACGACCGGTGCCAGCAAATATTTGCACGGTGAGGTAACGTTTCGAAACGGTTTGCTCTAAAAATTGCATAAACTGGTCTGTCTGTGCGGTCTCGAGGTGGGCTCGTCTCCTCTTCTATCCACGTTTGATATCGCTCTAGAGGCGGTCTAACAGGCGATTAACAGCGGCTAACATCGACTATGGCTTGCGCCGAAATATTCACCGTAAGTTTACTGCTGCTGGTTCGTTACGGTTTGCTTTTAGAAAGAATACAAGCTGGAGTACGCTCCTGATCGTATTGGCTGTCCGTGCTCCACTACGTTGCAAATCCGATTGGAGTGGGGTGGGCAGCTACTGTGACTGCGTCTTCTTACGAAGAACAGAGTAAATGACACGACGACCCGAGCTACTGTGCCGGTCAAACGTGAATCATATCCCAATGACATTGATTCGTGTCCCGTAAACACCTTCGGTGACTCGAAAAGGATAACACGGCCTCTGATATCCGCTGAGACCGGATAGAGGCTCATTACGAGCCTCGAAATGCGTCAAACTGATAAACTACGATTTATCGCTCGAGGTACATTGAAAAGTAAGAGCTTTTTAATCAGGCTTCAAACGATCTGTATACGAGTCCATTTTGACCTGGGCCCGCCTCTATTTTGCAATTGTTGGAACAATAATTAGTGAAAGATTCACGGTTGTACATGAGCAGATTATTAGGCATAGTATACATAAATGTAAGTGTTTTGTGGAGTAAATCACTTCAAATCATATTCACATTTAGCTTTTAAATGGACTATTAAGTCTTCGTAGCTCTATCCATCTTTAAATCAATAATTAATTAATGTAAATATAAGTCATTCGTACAAACTTTAATAATTTTAATAAGTTAAGAATATTATATTAATATTTCTATATTCTTACAATCTGTCTACTGTTTTAAAATTCTCTCACTCATTTTTGTTATAAATGCATACTATCTACAGTCTAGATATAATTATTTAAAGATTCAAGTACTCCGTACCAACTCAAAATATTTCTAATATTACACGGTAAAGCTTATTTTAATTTACCAGTTCAGCAAAAATCAATATCAAATAATTTAAGTGAGGTGTAATACTTTAGAGTTTATATACTCTGAAAGTCATAATGATTAAATAAAATGTGAATATTCGAAGTCACATACGAGTAGCCCAGACAATTCAGAATGAAGAAATTGTATGGTCTGTACGGCCCTGGTCAAGGATCCGCCAGTTCGATAAACATGGCGGTGTTTACAGTGTCAAATTCTTTTATGATCCGTCATTTTGCTGCACTCGATGACCATTTTCGAAATAATATGGTCAACTCATTCGATAGATGGAAACGGCCGACGAGAAGGTCTTTGGCATCGCATGGAACGCAATGTCACGGAGCTATTTATTTTTGTACTCCTTTGTCTACAAAGCCCGAATTCGATTTTTCGAAATGTTTGAAACGTCCGATGCACTCTCGTTCATCGTCTCACGTTTCGATTACCAATAAATCTTGTCGCAATATTACGTATAGCACTTAGTTGTTTATCGTTCGACTCGCGCGATTAGTGCAATTTTTTTGTTGGAGACACGCTTGGTCTAATCTCTAGCCACGTGCGCCATCGCTTTTTCTACTATACGTGTGAGATAATTGCAAGATATCGATTTTTACCGTTCCAATTGATCGAGGTTCATTCTTGAAGTCTCTTTAACGCTTTACAAACGACACATTTAATATTTCAAGAATAATGTTTACTATTCCAAGGACAATAGAACTCGTACTATTTTTATTCTTTGATATATAACAATAAGTTGATCGTACGTAAGCTGGATTTTCCGTTCAAGCTGTTCAGAAAACTTACTGCAAAAGAAACCGTTACTAAACTCCGCATCCTTCCTCCTTCAACTGTTTTAAATCGAGTCTACCTATTTTGAAAACATGGCCCACGATACCTGAACAGGAAGTCACGTGACATAGGCGCAGCACTTCCTCTATTCATTGAATTTGAACGAGTAAATTATAGCATGGTTAGATAAATACATAATTATACAATGAAATAGCAACAAATAGCAAAAATTCCAAATTGAGATTCTCATACTTTCGAACGGTCTCAAATGTTGACGATTCGAATCGCCAGACCGGAGGGGGAGAAAGGGCCGAACCAGAGTTCTGCGACAGCCGGCGATCGTTTCTAATTCGTCGGATTGTTTACATCATGATTTGAGCTTCTTAACACCTCACAGCGTTCGTTTACGTAACCCGTTCATATCGTGCACTAATCATTGCAATGGGATCGCATGGTATCGAGAGGCCACGGTGCATGCTCCACGGAACTTTCGAAACGGTCGTTAACTGCGAGAGATCGATAACGTCGCCGCTCTCTGGCCGTTCGTGCACGTTCGATTTTCACCTGTGCCTTCCGTCGGAAGAATGCGCGTGAAAAGTCATCGCTGTCGTAGTTGTAAAATCCAAGGTGTCGATCGTCGCCATGAACGACGACGGAGCCGTATCTTGTCGTCTGGGTGTCGCGCCACGTAATTGTGACAGGGTGGGGACGCGTGTGCGACGCCTCGCATTTATAGGTTAACTTTTCGCGCACAGGCGATCAGTGCCGCTTCAACGAGGGCTCCGCGCTCTCTCGTTGGGTGAAGCTCCTCTTTTGTTCGTCGAGAGGTTAAAATCCTTGTCGAGAGGCCAGACAGGGGCTCGGTCCTTTCTGTGCTGTCGGATTTCACCTAGAAACCGAGCGTGATTTAACCAGCGAAATACAATACACGGAGACGAAAAGCGTGCGCGTGCTCTCTCGCTCGCCTCACGTTCGCCCGTCAACCGTCAAATCAGTGTTATTGACAGAAACACGGCACGCCGTGCAACGAGTAATCGCTCGGACACACGATGACAGAGGAAAGGACGTTGCACGCGTAACGCCTGAACAAAGTTACTTTGTTCGCGGACGTTCGTGGAGGATCGCTGTAACGCAAACTGTATTCGCATATAAATAGAATATCCGCGCAGTGGTACGCAGGAAACCGAAGCTTATACGCTTGTGTGCACGATCGCAGCATCGGCCCCCCAGTCTCTTTGTCGGCGAAGTTGTCATGACAATTCGCGCGTGCCGTATTGTTTCCCGTGGTGCGCAGTGTCGCTTCGTCCGAGTACGTCCGAGCACGTCCTATCCGACTGGATCTCGTCGTAGACCTGATTTGGAACGCGCGCCGTGTGTGTGCAAACTATAATATCCGCGTAACGTAACGATAGAAACCGTGATCTCGCAGTGGTGTGCGCCCGTGTAAGAACGTAGTGACGCGTGACATTTGTTCGCCGTTCCATTTACGAGAACCTGTTGTTTCGTTGTCTCACTGTAAATCGTCAGACGATTCGCGCGATGCGAGCACGTTAGAACCTGTCACGGGGCGCGCGAGTTCAAGAGAGGACATGGCAGCGGATTTCGATGACTGAGATACTGTTTCCACTTCCTGGCAATATCGCACAGGGGCAGTTTAAGGTGCGCTCGTGCGACGAACGGTAGCGTAGGAAACGTTACGGGATAAAGTAACGTGGAGGAAGATCGCACGTAGCGGCGCGCAGCTGCGCGCACTTCAACGAAAATAGAACTCTCTGCACGGTTGTGTGTTGGAGGCCGACGCACGTCGTGAACGAGCGCGAGGAGTGTGACATTAAGGCGATCGTAGAATGTCGCGCGTGTCGCTCAACAAGTCGCAGTACAGCGGGTACGGCTCGCGTCGCGTGCGGAAGATCAGCACGGTACGTTACGAAGTTTCGTGTTTATTTGGTAACCGCGTGGCTCTGCCCGTACATGCTTGCCTGCATGCCTGCTTGCATATAACGTGCGTGCGCGTCGCGCGTACCGTACGCGCCCCTCGACTTTCATCCTCCGGTGATCTCATTCGCTTGGCCGCGTCACGTGACTCAGCCTTGACAGTCGGGGCGTAATTTACACTTTCGTAGGAGTCGCAGCCGATCTACGAAACGGGCACAGGAGTCGCACGCCGTGTGCACGCATGTTTAAGTCTCTCTCTCTCCCTCTCTCTCTCTCTCCCTCTCTCTCTCTCTCTCTCTCTCTCTCTCTCTCTCTCTCTCTCTCTCTCTCTCTCTCTCTATCTCTCTGCCTGCCTNCGTCGGATTGTTTACATCATGATTTGAGCTTCTTAACACCTCACAGCGTTCGTTTACGTAACCCGTTCATATCGTGCACTAATCATTGCAATGGGATCGCATGGTATCGAGAGGCCACGGTGCATGCTCCACGGAACTTTCGAAACGGTCGTTAACTGCGAGAGATCGATAACGTCGCCGCTCTCTGGCCGTTCGTGCACGTTCGATTTTCACCTGTGCCTTCCGTCGGAAGAATGCGCGTGAAAAGTCATCGCTGTCGTAGTTGTAAAATCCAAGGTGTCGATCGTCGCCATGAACGACGACGGAGCCGTATCTTGTCGTCTGGGTGTCGCGCCACGTAATTGTGACAGGGTGGGGACGCGTGTGCGACGCCTCGCATTTATAGGTTAACTTTTCGCGCACAGGCGATCAGTGCCGCTTCAACGAGGGCTCCGCGCTCTCTCGTTGGGTGAAGCTCCTCTTTTGTTCGTCGAGAGGTTAAAATCCTTGTCGAGAGGCCAGACAGGGGCTCGGTCCTTTCTGTGCTGTCGGATTTCACCTAGAAACCGAGCGTGATTTAACCAGCGAAATACAATACACGGAGACGAAAAGCGTGCGCGTGCTCTCTCGCTCGCCTCACGTTCGCCCGTCAACCGTCAAATCAGTGTTATTGACAGAAACACGGCACGCCGTGCAACGAGTAATCGCTCGGACACACGATGACAGAGGAAAGGACGTTGCACGCGTAACGCCTGAACAAAGTTACTTTGTTCGCGGACGTTCGTGGAGGATCGCTGTAACGCAAACTGTATTCGCATATAAATAGAATATCCGCGCAGTGGTACGCAGGAAACCGAAGCTTATACGCTTGTGTGCACGATCGCAGCATCGGCCCCCCAGTCTCTTTGTCGGCGAAGTTGTCATGACAATTCGCGCGTGCCGTATTGTTTCCCGTGGTGCGCAGTGTCGCTTCGTCCGAGTACGTCCGAGCACGTCCTATCCGACTGGATCTCGTCGTAGACCTGATTTGGAACGCGCGCCGTGTGTGTGCAAACTATAATATCCGCGTAACGTAACGATAGAAACCGTGATCTCGCAGTGGTGTGCGCCCGTGTAAGAACGTAGTGACGCGTGACATTTGTTCGCCGTTCCATTTACGAGAACCTGTTGTTTCGTTGTCTCACTGTAAATCGTCAGACGATTCGCGCGATGCGAGCACGTTAGAACCTGTCACGGGGCGCGCGAGTTCAAGAGAGGACATGGCAGCGGATTTCGATGACTGAGATACTGTTTCCACTTCCTGGCAATATCGCACAGGGGCAGTTTAAGGTGCGCTCGTGCGACGAACGGTAGCGTAGGAAACGTTACGGGATAAAGTAACGTGGAGGAAGATCGCACGTAGCGGCGCGCAGCTGCGCGCACTTCAACGAAAATAGAACTCTCTGCACGGTTGTGTGTTGGAGGCCGACGCACGTCGTGAACGAGCGCGAGGAGTGTGACATTAAGGCGATCGTAGAATGTCGCGCGTGTCGCTCAACAAGTCGCAGTACAGCGGGTACGGCTCGCGTCGCGTGCGGAAGATCAGCACGGTACGTTACGAAGTTTCGTGTTTATTTGGTAACCGCGTGGCTCTGCCCGTACATGCTTGCCTGCATGCCTGCTTGCATATAACGTGCGTGCGCGTCGCGCGTACCGTACGCGCCCCTCGACTTTCATCCTCCGGTGATCTCATTCGCTTGGCCGCGTCACGTGACTCAGCCTTGACAGTCGGGGCGTAATTTACACTTTCGTAGGAGTCGCAGCCGATCTACGAAACGGGCACAGGAGTCGCACGCCGTGTGCACGCATGTTTAAGTCTCTCTCTCTCCCTCTCTCTCTCTCTCCCTCTCTCTCTCTCTCTCTCTCTCTCTCTCTCTCTCTCTCTCTCTCTCTCTCTGCCTGCCTATATTCATCTCGGTTTCTTGCTCGATCTCCTCCTTTGTCTCTTTCGATCTATCCCCCTCTTTCTCTCGCTCTCCCAGTAGCAGTACACTTCGTGCAACACTGCGTCACCTTTGTTCGCGATTTGCATCGGTCGCGAATACGACGCCGACCGTCACGGAAAACAAGGTCGAAAACAATACATCTGGTCGAGGTTCTTTCGCCTTCACGTTAGGTGGCGCACACCTTACCGATTCTAATGACAGCGGATCAGCTGATCGCGTTGACCTTCCTACCATTCGGCCAAGTCACTGTCGGCCAGGATATTCAAATACACAGAGTGATTCACTTTTAACCTGTTTACCGGGAGCTCGTTTCCCAAAAGTGACGGACGAGTTCGCTCGTCAGGCTCGTTGTGAATGCAAGTATGTCATCATTTGTGTCTGATTTAACATCGTAGACGAAAGTAGAACCTCCTTGATTAATAAACGAATGGTTTAACCCCTCCGCTGGCATGTAGGAGATGTCTCGCATTGCAAAATCATTCGTGACGAGATATCTCGCCGTATCGTCTGAACAATTTTGCGATGCGATTTTACGAACAAGGGTAATAAATAAGAAAAAAAGTTTCGCTTTCACTCTGTATGAAATAAATCAGAACATGGAGTTGAACATAACGCGACATAACAATTTTTACAGAATTACTTCGATCGTGTGTGTAATTTATTTTCTATACCATGAAACTCAGTGTTTTATAGGATAACACTGCCGATGTTCGCTTTGGGATATATTTAGACTAAAGCCTAAATAGTATCTTTCTACGGGATTTCTTTCCTCTACTACTACTTTTATCCGTCGTGGAAATGTTTTCTTTTTTCATCTTCATACTTTGCGACTCAAAAGACAACTACAACCATAAAGAAGTGTAAATGCATGCACTTTTACAATGTTATATTTACAATTTAAAAACAGAAACACTTCACGATTAGTTTTTGCCTACTACACAATTTACATTCTTTCGATTTTACTGCTAGAGTCAGCGAGTCTGGATTCCGTCAATAAAAGTGAAAAACATCGTAAAACGGCGATAATGAAAAACGAATATGTTGGTTTTTAGTACGCGTACGTGATCTACAAAATTTGGGGATCTATTAATTAGTAGTTCGCGTTAGAAGAGCATTTTGTTAATGACGAGTTAATTCGTCATTTCTCGTTAGCAGTTTAAATAGTCGAATTGTAGCACAATACTATATGAAGGGAATTGAGGGCGAAAGGTGTTTTATGTATACCGTGACTTGACTACGATTGTTTATGAATTTAACACATGTCGATGTGTGAAATTGGTTTATGTCAAACTACGATCTATGTGATCTCTACTGGATTATGTGTTTTCTATTCAAGCATAAAATGTTTAATTGCAGTACAAATTAATTTCGTTTGTCTTGCAATTAATAAAAAATATTTCTGTTTGATTGGAGGTTTTATTTCGATTGGAATCCATTTCGCACTCTGCCCACGTTATGTTTGCTAATTTGCTAATGTGTCGCCGCTTAAGGTCATTGATCGGACTCCTCCGTTAATCCGAAACGTCTGCAAATAAGCCGCGGGTCTTTCCTTTCAATGCGGTGTGTTTCGCAAACGAGGAATAAAGAGAATTATTAATTTTCTGCTGAATTTATTACAATCGATTGCTTCGGAAATTTTTCGGTTACGAAAATACGACTTAACCGTGTGGTGAATATCGTTTCCTCGTTATCAGATTCTATGCAAAATGTTGCGCTAAATAAACGTAGCCTTAGGGAAGAGGCTAAGCCGCAATAGCCATATAATATCAGTTGCTTGCGTTTGCGTTATGAGATCATCTTATACTATGGAGTTGTTGTTCAGTCTCGTATTACGCTGGAACAAGCAACTTCCAAAACACGATTTTCCGTCGATTCACACTTTATTTCTTAATTTTATACTGTTAGAAGATTCTTGTCGTGTTTAACTGCGTAAAATATGTATATTTGTAAATTGAGGAGGAATGCATAGTTTCTCTGCTTGTGCACATATGATTTGTTAAAATGTCCAAGAATTCTTGGAAATCAATTAATTGGTTTCCTCCTAGAGAGTCCACTGATCTATGATGTGTCTGTGTGTTTATGTACTTGCATAAAAGGACACTTTTTCTTGCCTTGTTCAAGGTGAACTGCCATTACATTACTCAAGGCAAACGCAAATATCAATGCTACGAGGCAACAGTATCTGGGAAAAAAATATTTACACAAACTATTCTGTGCAGTAAATAATACTCTAATGTTGGAGGATGATAATAGACATATTTTTCTAAAAGAGAGGTTAATCTATGTTTCTCTTTTACAGACGGAAAGCGAATACTCTGTGGAAGAGCATGCAAGATTAACAAGTACTGATGGACCAGGCGATGAAACATCTCCAGACGATGAAGGGGGTTCGCTGTGTGAATACCATGACATGCCACCACCACCTGATGGTGGCTATGGCTGGGTCGTGGTATTTGCATCCTTCATGTGTAACATGATAGTGGATGGTATTGCCTATACATTTGGTGTTTTCCTGGGAGAATTTGTTAGATATTTTGATGAAGGGAAAGGCAAGACTGCATGGGTTGGTTCATTGTTATCCGGCATGTATCTTAGTGCTGGTAAGTATTTATGTTCTAAAAGCTATTCGTGGTTTCTTTCGAGTTACATAAAATGTATTAATCTTTTTCAGGACCTGTTGTCAGTGCTTTAACAAATAAATATGGCTGTAGAGCAGTATGTATGGCTGGAAGTTTTTTAGGTGCAGCGGCATTTATACTTTCAACATTTTCATCCAGTGTAAATATGCTTATGTTGACTTATGGTGTTATGGGAGGTGTGTAAACTTCATTGAACTACAGTGTGATATGATTTATTTTAGGAATGTTTTGTCTAACCATGTTGTTTTTTTCAGGAATTGGATTTGGTCTAATATATTTACCAGCAGTAGTTTGCGTAGGCTACTATTTCGAAACCAAAAGATCTCTAGCTACAGGCATTGCTGTATGTGGATCAGGGTTTGGCACATTCGCGTTTGCACCTCTTGCAACAATGCTATTAGAAACATATAGTTGGAAAGGAGCAAACTTAATTCTTGCTGGCCTTATTTTAAACTGTGCCGTAAGTAACTTCTTAAGAAGTCAGTGGCGAATAACAATGATTGAATAATAATGATTGACAAATTGCAGGTGTTTGGTGCGTTGATGAGGCCATTAGAATATCCAAAACCATCGTCCGTCAAGCCATTGTTGCAAAGAATGGCGGAAGAAAAGAGATTCCAAATGGAGCGTGGCAGTATCGCCGGTTCCTTTTTCATGGTTCAACTGCCGGATGGATCCATGGAGAAAAGAATGAAGATGCCTATTAACGTTGATCCCGGCGTTCACTCCAGTTTCAATCTAGATCAATTAGTGCCGGGTAAGCTCAACCACGCTAATATTAACTCGATCGAACCCATCTAAGAATTGTTTCAAATAAATCGTTTCAAGATGCACATCATTCAATACTCATAATATTAAAGGAACTCCTTTAACACCAGTTCCAACGGTACCGACCCTCCCCACTATATCGGAGGTCAAAGTACAAGAGCACTCCTCCAGCGGGGCGACCAGCAATAGTGGCAGCATGGACTTGAAGACTATTTCCTCCAAGTCGAGAAGTAAAAGAAACATCGATGATACCAAAGATTCGGAAAAGTCTGAGAGCGAGTTCAAGCCAGTTATCCCTAGGAACGCTTCGCAGCCTGCTTTCACAACTCACGTTCAAGGCTTACCCAAAAATGGATCCGTGCCCTTCTTCGATAGAATCCGTAAAACCAGTACGGGTGAGAGGTACAAGCCGAGTCTCAGTGCGATTAAGAACTCCAGAACTACGTTGAGTTCGAATGGCGATATTAGAAAAAGTTTACACCTGAGACTCTCAACGAACAGTGTAATGGGCTCACGAAATAATAATGCAGAAGTGGATGTACGTTTTATTTTAGTTTTTACATGTCTTCAACAAATAGATTTTAGTCTATAATGATTTTATACTTTCGCAGGATGGCGAGAGCATTACTTTTACGACAAGCAAATCTAGTATTCCAAAGGAAAAGCCGCAGATTATTCGACCTTTGTCCAGAAAGGACATTTTTTACAGTGGAAGCGTAGTTAATTTACCAGAATATCAGAGCCAAAAATCGCTCGCAAATTACCGTCAAAGTGTGATTTCTTTATCAAAATCTGTCCGTGGTGACCTTAAAGATACCGACGTCGAGAAAGCTGCTCAGCGTAAGTAATTGATTAAGGAAAGAGTTGCAACAACCTATGAACTTTCCATAATACCGGAAAATTTTTTAGAATCATTATGTCCCTGCTTGGTATTGCCTGACTCGTTTAAAGAGGCTTTGGGTACAATGATGGACGTTTCTCTACTAAAGAATCCAGTATTTCTTTTGATCGGTATCAGCAACGTATTCGGAATGGCTGGTCTCTATGTTCCCTTCGTGTACTTAGTAGATGCTGCAGTGTTAGACGTAAGTTAAACATTACTTTCTAATCTTACGTAAAATACCAATGTTCTTGCAAATTACATTTACTATATAATTTATAGGGAATCGAAAGGAATTCAGCGTCGTTTCTACTGTCCATTATCGGTATAACAAACACTGTAGGTCGAGTAGCTTGTGGGTTCATCGCAGACTTTCCGCAAGTGGATTCTTTACTATTGAATAATATTTGTTTAATTATATCAACGATCTCGGTAGCTGCTACACCATTTTGTGAATCTTATGCGGCTTACATTGTCATGAGCATCTTCTTCGGTATAGCTATATGTGAGTATTTTCACATGTATTTTCTGAATGAATGTAGGGGTAAGGATGATAATACTATTTTGATTTTGTTACCATTTTAGCTGGATACATTTCTTTGACATCAATCATCCTGGTTGACCTGTTGGGGTTGGACAAGCTAACGAATGCATTCGGCCTTCTAATTTTATTCAGAGGAGCTGCCGCTATCATTGGTTCACCTTTAGCAGGCGCCGTTTACGACGCGACGCATAGTTACCGTATTCCATTCTTCATGGCAGGATTCTTCTTCTTTTTAAGCACTATCACCAGTTTCATGGCTCCAGCGATGAAACGGTGCACTGTGCCGCAGGTATGTATATTAACGTTTCACCTATGGAACCGCCACAATTTTCAAAGTTCTCGCAAGGTGATAAGCGAGGAGCAGTCGTGTGATCGAACGAAATGAATAATCGTTCCAGACTCCACCTCCGATGATAGATACATTGACTCCGATCGACGAAGATGTCGAGGAAGAGAATGAGGACGATATCCCCGAGATCGTGGAAACTGCGCCGTCACCGCAAGAACCACCCGAGAAAGAAATTAAGCAAATAGAGTCTGTTTTATAAGTCTGGTCCGTTTAAAGGAGAGAGAAAATCGCCTTCACCTCCGAGCCACACTGTGATAGGGCTGCTGCTTCGAGAAGGTCTGACAAAAGAAAAGAAAAGAAAGGTACTTCTTCGTTATACATTTTAACGGAATTAAGCACAAATTAATAATGAGTACTGCTCGGTGGTATTTTCTCGGCGTACTTAGAATTTTTGAAATTGTATTTGATTCATTTTTGTTTTTTATGATACTAATACGTATACATGAACATATATTATATAAGCGTAAGCGTATACAAACGGTGTAAGACAAAATACCATCGGGCGAGAAATCATTTGCCTATGTCAATAGTAGAGTGATAGATAGAAGAATTTATTAATTCAATCAGTATAAATCGATCAGTATAAAAAAATGTTGAAAAATTGGAAAAAAAGGCTTTTGCACTTGCATATCGATTAATATCGCGGGAGAAATATTAATTCTCATCATGGATATCATATGATGAATAATGAATACCCACGTGTATGTATATTTATGTGTATACACGACTCTGATTAAGGATGGTCAATCCTAACTCGACTTTCGACTGGCTCTCTTTTTCTCTCTTCTCCTGTTAGTGCTGTTAAGGACACCTGCTCGCTTATGTATTTTTTAATGTACGATTTACGTATGGAGAACAACGAAGAAGCATTTGCTATTATGCGCACGTGTCGAGTTTCGCAGCTGGGTTTTCTTACGTTTAAGCATCGGCAATCTAACTTTGTAGAGCTCTAAACGTGGCCAATGTCTTTCACGATCGACCATCCTTAATCGACAAGACTCACCCCACCTATATACACGTATATACATATGTATACATATACCGGAATACTGTTACTTAAATCTATTTTTGGTCGCAATCCAAAGATACAATTCCAATTGATTACATTCAAAGAGATATTTTTCTTGCATACACGACAAATGTATATATTATATAGGCGAAAGAGAGAGAGGGAGAAAATGAGAAAACAGATATGGTATGTGGATTAGAGTTACGTATACTTGATAGATGAATTCGCTGTTTCGCGGGAATGAATTGTAAATAAATATGTAGGCAATTGTAAAATAGTGTATAACGAATTATCGAAATCAGGCAAATAGAGAATGATTTCTGTTTACACGGAGGAGAATCCGTTTCGGCTCCCCCCCCGTATTAATATATTGGTTAATGAGACAATTAACGCGATGCTAGGTAGAGACTAATTAATATATTAATAAATCAAGCTAGAAGAACGTTTATTTGATCGATGATGCGCGAAAGGAGAGATGAGAATGTCTTTCTGACATCAGCTAGTTTGTGTAAATTAATTCTTTTAGTTAATCAGAATTGACTGTCAGGAATACATAGGATGAGAGCACATTAATTAACACAAACTAATTCTCGACTAATACACGTTGCTCGATGCGTAGTTTGTGTTGTCTGTTTCATCGTTCGAGTAACTATTGCAATTAATTACCGATTATCACGAGTACGTAGAGAGAAAGAGAGGGGAGAGAGAGAGAGAAGAGGAGAGACCTGTGTTTGATCGTACTTAGTAATGTTTATTTACGATTACGCATACACGCCTACGATCCGTATAAATATATAAATCGTACCGATATAGATTTATATGTTTATGCGCACAAATAAACAATACATATGCATAAGCAAACGAAAAGGAGTACTTGTAAATCTTGTTAAACGGCATACGAGGTGTTGTACCTCTATGTACATTGTATATACGATAGTATCGGTAAACAGCTACAATGATCAATTGTCGATACGCAGTGTTGCAATGTAAAGGAGTTAAAAGAAACAGAAAAGAAGGAAACAAGGAGGAACCTAACCGTTGCTGTTGATAAGGGAAAAGAATACCAACAGTGCTATTATCATCGCTACTACCGCTATCACTATTACCACTACTATTACTATTACACTATATTTACTTAGTACAACTATTACGACACACTTATTTTTATTCTTAATGATCGTTGTGCAGGAGAACCGTGTTTCTTGTGGTTTTCAATCAAATATAAAGAAAAAACACGCGCATACACACACACACTGTGTATGCACATGCTACTCATCCGGAAGTGCGTACATGTGCACGCGTGCCGCATCGAGTCCTACAGTTACACACACTATAATATAGAGAGCATAGAGATAATTATCGACGCGCGTGTTCATGTGTGGCATTTCGCATGCGCATGTTTTTTTTCATATGTATGTATGTTGGCACAGACGGGACTTTAGCTGGTGAGAATATATTACAGAGAGAGAGCGCGTGTGGTTCGTCATGTGTGCATAATAGTGGCATACATATGTGTATGAGGCGTTCTTACAACACACACACACATACAGGACAGAACAAAACAGATATACGCTTACGTACACACACGCGCGCACACATACACACACACAAACCCAAATACAGTCAGGTGGACCCTTTAATCCTGTGCATATGTTGAATGAAAAAGAAAACAGAAAACACGTGAAGTATATATTATATGCTATGGTACAAAGAAGGACAAATGTATTAGGTGAACGTTTATTGAAATTGAAGAGGAATTATGAATTTTTATTACTGAAACTTTGCGTTGACTTATTTATTTATTTACGCGTGTGATTTCCCCATGTTCCCACCACGTGGCACTAGCGTTCGTCAGAGAGGGGGGTCTGATCGCATGCGCCATCTCTGTCTGGCTTTCCTCGACCGCTCTTGTTCTTCTTGACCATTATTTTCGCCGCATGTAAGTCACGAGTACGCAGTAAATTATTAGCAATAAAATATTGTAATACGTCAACCAGTTTGCGTTATTGCTGCTTGGACTAATTGCTCTACGACATCGTTTCTCAAATGTTTAATGTTCATTTTGCTGATCCTACGGTTTTGGACCCATGTAGGTAACTTTAGACATTTCATTTACAAAATATGTACCTACGTACTAAACTTTATTTACTAAAATATTTTTGTTACACCTACAAGTAATACATTTAAGACACGCAACAATTCGCCTCTGTAGAAAAGTTTGCTCTTTCGTACAGTTAACAATGTTCTTTGCGCGCGCACAATATTCGAATCCCTCACGATCCATTGGTAATCTCCTTATCACCATCATTCTCAAAATTCGTTTCGATGAGAATTGTGACTAGAATCGTATTACGAGATAACGGTCAATTTCACTTGACGCATTCACAAACCGGTCACACAGAACTCCGTTTTCCTTCGAGCTACAGCTGACTGACGTTAACGTAACGTTGCATCACTCCATAAGATAGCAGAATTTTATCTTCAACGAAATAAACAACTATACAGCCACGAGTACAACACTTTCGAGTGAAATACACGATTGTCATAGATCACGCGCTCCTTGGAGAAGCTCGGTTTTCGGCGAAGGAAACACCGGTTACGAAAGCGCAAGTTCAACCGCGATTGCATATCAAGAGTGACGGTGGCAGACGAGTTAAAGCCATGATCGCGCCAAGAAGTTCGTTACCGCCCGTAATAACGGATTTCGGGGCTCGCTCAAAGGAAGAATTTCTGATCGTTCTCCGTGATTTTCGAAACGAACACGTGGTCGCAAGTTTTCGTGCGCCACGACTGTTCAAAACGAAAGGAACTGTCGCGCGATAGGCGCGTATTCTTGGCGCGACCTACCTTACAGTGAACTTACACTTTCGTTTAAGCGCCACCGAGCAACAGGAGGGGCGAAGCACATAGGAGGTGTCCGAGGAACGCCACCTCCGTTTCGTCGCGCGAGAATTCCGTGCGGATCGTCTCTCGTGTAAACGTATTACCGCGGCTTCCTCGTGCTTTTCCAACAGTGTACCGGCGCCGCGTGCCCTTCGCCTATCTTTTCCCCGCCCCTTCTCTCTCTTTCTTCTCCCTTCTCCGCCTTCGTCAGCGTTCGTCTCTCCTCTCTCTTTCTGCTCCCGTCTCTTTTCCACCCGCGCTTAAAAAAAACTTCCGTTCATCTTTATGGCGCTTGCCCTCTCAGTCGCCCAGTGGTTCACTTCATCTTCGGACGACACGAACCTGCGAACGTGACACCGAGGTTTGTCGGGCGGCGATCATGACACACACGTGAGTGCAATTCGCTCCAAAAAGTATCTCGTCCGCTTCCGCTTCGTGTTTCCGCGATGGTTCTCGCCGCGGCCGAGAGATCGTGTGCCGATTATCCTTCGGTGACCAATCATCGGTAAATTGAATCCGCAGATTCCTGCAAACAATCTCTGTAAACAATGGTTATCGCACGGGCTGATGACGGTTATTAACCGGGTGACTCTTAAACGTGGAGGACCGGATGAAACGAACGCGGAAGTGATTGATGAGGGTGTCTTTCCAACAGGGTTTATTTGTTTGAGTACAATAGTTTTGATATATAGTCTTGGTCCTTGCGAGGTCATCTTACACTTTGCTGTGACTATATCTAATGTTTTTTTAAACTTTGAAATTATTTATGCATTTTGGCTGTACACGCTCGGTGTAAAGAGAAATCGGGGTATATACAGTCAATGCTAAAGATTGATTTTTGAATCCGGAACTTGTAATAGATTCTTGCTCTAGTTTCATTCGTGTACAGTACGAAAGCACTAGCCGGGAGTCATTCGAATGGGACGGGCCGCTATAATGAGTCTCTTCTGTCAAAAACCTAGCATAATACAGACGTCGTGACGTAACGAAGTGCGGGAGTTATCAGTTAACCTGTCATCCGGGCGATTTTTCATTCACGAACCCCCGGAGAGTAGCCTGAGATAAAGAAGACTAATACGACAAAGATTATGTCACGAGGAATGTAAATACAACATAGTTTCGGCTACAACATAAATATTATGACACAGAGAACAGTGCGTGTACGAAGAAGAGGAGGAAAGCGAGAGAACGAGTGCTAGCGACGGGTTAATTAACCCCTTAACGTGCACGCTCGAGTTAACTCGAGCGCGCTAAACTGGCCAAACTGTGCATACTCGAGATAATTCGAGCGGCGTTGTACCTTATGTTGCTATAATTTTTCACAACTCGAATGCAATCGAGAATTGAAAATAACAATGTGGAAGCCAAAAAAAGCAATCGTTTTATTGATGTTTATCATTTACATGGGATTGTAAGCTTACTTATCCAAGTATAAAATATATCCTTTTTCTACTTATCACTTACGACTTATCTCTGCCTTGCGAGCCGCTTTCCGACAACGTATTCATATTCAGATTCTGATTCGCTCATTTTTCAATATATATTTTACTAAAATATAATGTAAAATAAAATATAACAATAATAATAATAATAATAATAATAATAATAATAATAATAATAACAATAATAATAATAATAGTAATATTCTGAAAACTAGAAATCATACCAATTGTATAAATATCCATTATTTTTGTATTTTTCTAATTTTCTCGCCAAGACAACGTTCTAAATTGTGTTTTCCTACATTAAAAAAAATTTCTTTTTTTTGGCCGGCCTTTTTCAAAAAAACTGTGCATTAAGGGGTTAGTTTCTCCTCCGGCGAAACGTTACGCACAATTACGAGCAACGAGTTAATTCGTCCCGAGTGACACATATCTCGAGATTTGTGGCGCCACACGCGCGCAGTTACCCTCTACCGGAAAGTTCGGGAAACAGAATCTGTTGGAATCCAGCGGGGACGAGTTAACTCGTCCTCCCTGAGTGAACAGGTTGACTTGCCGCGCGGAATAAATTAAATGGTAGAATGGCTGGACGTGCGCGACACTACTATAGAACGAGCGGAATGCGTTCTGTAGACAGAATCGGCAGCGAATGAAGCGAAAAGAGAACCACAGCCTTGTGTGTTTCTGGTGCAGCGAGTTCGCGCCGTTGGACGTCACAGCTGTGTGCTGCACGTGTAGTCGCCCTTTGACGCGGGAACGAAGTGCAGTCGAAACTCGCGCTCGGCCACAAGCGGTTCATCCGAACAAGTACCGATCGATCGAACGATCGATCGATCGGCATAACCCGCCGGCCAATTCTACGTCGATTTGAACAGTCGGATCCGGATGAATCGAGGTGACGTTGCCTATTTGATTTACACTCTCGAACCTCGCCGTTCTAAGTTCAAGCGCACGACCTCTGGTTGCACCTGCGCTCTCGCGTTAACTGTCTACCATCGCGTCACGATGTTTCGCTTGATTTACGTAGTTACTTGCGCGCCGTTCAGTGATTTACATCGAAATTCGGCCGCTTTTACGGCGATACGGCGTCGCTCCATGCATTCGTTTAAATGTAATTGAGCGTCGGACGTAACAGTGGTTCAAGATGTTCGCGGGACAGCTTGTGCACCATAATGGTGGATAGCATGGATGCAACCAGCAGGTACAGTGAAGGTAATTTAATACTGGCGACGCGGTCGGGTCTTTGGGCCCGCCATTCGGGGCCAGTGGATTGTTAATCTATAGAGAACCGATCCTGAATTTACCGAGATTTGATATTATTATTGTTCGTTGTTTATCTTGTGATGGCGAAAGAGCTTTGTATTTTTCCCGTCGCTGTTAGTTCCATCATGATATTCACAGGAACTGAAATATTTGCGGCAGTGGTATCTTTCTCGTGCAATGGATCGGTATTTGTTGCACGCACAATATCGACTCAAAAGTTTTTTCGTTAATCTATAGAGAACTAATCCTGAATTTACCGAGATTTGATATTATTATTGTTCGTTATTTATCTTGTGATGGCGAAAGAGCTTTGTATTTTTCCCGTCGCTGTTAGTTCCATCATGATATTCACAGGAACTGAAATATTTGCGGCAGTGGTATCTTTCTCGTGCAATGGATCGGTATTTGTTGCACGCACAATATCGACTCAAAAGTTTTTTCGTTAATCTATAGAGAACTAATCCTGAATTTACCGAGATTTGATATTATTATTGTTCGTTATTTATCTTGTGATGGCGAAAGAGCTTTGTATTTTTCCCGTCGCTGTTAGTTCCATCATGATATTCACAGGAACTGAAATATTTACGGCAGTAGTATCTTTCTCGTGCAATGGATCGGTATTTGTTGCGCGCACAATATCGACTCAGAAGTTCTTTCGTTGACATCGTTACTTTTTCTCGTATAACTTTTCAGTTACAAGCTATCGATTGAAAACGTTCTTATTCCGTGGTTTGGTACATTCTGGATTAATTGGTACGTTCTGGCTATAGTTTTAAAGACAGTAATCAGCGTCGCTCCGAATTTCAGTGTTTGTATCCAGAATAGTTTTAGCCAAACTCTCGCTGACTGGTATAATAACGTTGAAAAATGACGGACGCCTACGTCTGCGCAGCGACATTCGAGACCAATCGAGCGGCGTGCGAAGATTGAATTTCGATGAGAAACGTTGCCCAATGATGGAATAAACCAGATGTTACACTTTGCACTTGCGGCGACGGTTTTCTCAGCTTCTACGCAACAAGTTGGCTTCGGCAGATACCATGCGAAAGAGTTTACGGAAAGTGTCGGCGGCAGGCGGTAGTAGTCCTTGATCGATAGTTGCCGCCCGAAGTTAAAAGAAACTTCGTTTCTCGAAAAGGGTCTGCGTGTGCACGGTCTCTAATGATCGATGAAAACGTTTACCGGTCGTAT